TAAATCTCCATAGTGATTTCCCTCAGAATCTTTTTGAGAATTTATCCTTCTTCTAAAGAAAACAATCTTATCCCCATCCATTTGCATCTTCCTTTTCAGTTCTTCCCCATTCCTTTGTGATGCTGGATAGATTATTTTTGCCTTTGTGACTGGGAAGCAAAGGTGAAATTCCTTGTAAAGATCTGCATGTGTCCAGGTGTCTTGGTGGGCAATCTACTTTCATAGTGATACTGCCTCGGAAACCCAAGGAGGGGGTCGCTATGAGTTGGATCTGACTTGATGGCAGTGAGTTTGGTTTTTTTGGTTTTAGTGCCTCTCTGACAGGAATATAGACCACAAATGGGATGGCTTGAACAAACAGGAGTTTATTCTATTCCATTTTTGGAGGCTAGAGGTCCAAGTTCAAAGTGCCAGGCTCTAAGGACTGGGTGAAAGCTCATCAACCTTGGGCTTCAGCTCCTCCTGCTCTCGGCCCACTGAAGCTGGAGGCTTTTCTTCACTCAGAAAGCTGCTGGCTGCTGAGGCTGGCAAACCCTAGGTTAACAAGTAAAAAGGCATAGTCCTGATATCACTAAACAACACAGTAGGCTGCTAATTCAAGTCCAGAAAAAGTCCCAAGATCGGCAGGGCGGGGCAGGCTGCTGAATAATGACTTGGCTACATGTAGGGTCCAAGTGTGCCAAAAAGCTAGAGACCTTCCTCAAAGCTGCTTCTTGTATACTGGAAGCAGACCACATCCCTACAGCAGCTACTCGGCTGCTCCAGTAGAGCCTACCATGGAATTGATTGCAATCTCACCATGGGGAATAACTACATCCAGCTGTCTAGCCACTCAATTAGGCCCAGCCACATTGACATACAACCTTAACTACCTCACCAGGTCTCCATCATTTTCCTTCCAACTCCATAAGAACATTTCTTACTGAAGAAACTGGCAAATAAATGCCTGAAAACCAATTCTTTCTAAGATACCGTTGGATTATCAGTATTCTTTGCCAACACCACAACTCAGATGCATCAACTCTTCTTCAGTCTTCCTTATTCAATCACATGCATATGAAGTGACTGAAAACACCATGGCTTGGGTTAGGCAC